TATCACTTTGCATTTCTCCCCATTAAACTTCAGCTGCCATGAGTCTGCCCATTTTACCAGTCTGTCTATGTCCTCTTGGAGTCTGCTACTATCCTTCTCACTGTTTACTACTTTTCTGAGCTTAGTATCATCTGCAAACTTGGAAATTGTACTCCCTATAACCAATTCCAGGTCATTTATATAGATTAAAAATAGCAGTGATCCTAGTACTGATCCCTTGGGGACATCACTGTACACTTCCCTCCAGTCAGAAAAACAACAGTTCACCACCACTCTCTGCTTTCTGTCTCCCAGCCAGTTCTGCATCCATGCTGCCACTGTCCCTTTAATACCGTGGGCTTCTACTTTGCTTAGAAGTCTCTTATGTGGCACTTTATCAAACGTCTTTTGAAAATCCATGTAAACTCCATCAACTGCACTACCTTCATTCACCCTCTCCGTTACTTCATCATGAGCAGCTCCACTTTTCAGTCTTCTAGGATACTGACAATCAACCAAAAAAAACAAGTCCCATGTCCTTCTCTATGAACGAGGCCTCAAGGAAACATCTAGCAGATCCATCTGGCACTAAATCACCCTTACTTCAGTCCAAATTGTTTATTGGAACTGGAACATCACATCCAACAACTTGAGAAACAGGTCAGGGAAAATGAGGGCTTTCTCACAGGTTTGGAAGGCCAAGTTGTGAATTTAATTAAATAAAAATAGACTGTGAATGTGCACAGGTGACCTCAATAATCAAGATTGCTGAAACAATACATGCAGATTTGGGATCATGGAGAGAGCAGAAGGCTTGTGATTTACGTGGAATATGCCAGATAAATATCCAGAGCATTTCCATAAAGGGAAAAGGATTTCAAAATGTCCATTAAGAGATGGCATTGTGCACTGGCCATGACCCTTTTAATGACAGGAGAGATCATAAATTATGGTGGTCAGATTATACTACTTCCGTACAAAGGAAGCCATTATGGCCAAGGCAAGAGCACTCAAGGAAGTAAGATATAAAGGAAATCGTATATCAGTTTATCCAGATTACTCTGTTGAGCTTCTTAGAAAATGTAATGCCTTCGATGGGATAAAAACAACCCAGAGAAAACAATATTGAATACTAATTTTTGTACACAGAGGAGCTACATATTATGATGCAAGTAGTCCAAACTCTCTTTGATTCACTGAAAAAGAGGAATTATTTATAACCTCCATCAATATCAATGTTGAGATACCATGAGGAAATGAACCATCCTGGGAAATGAACCTTCTACATGGCAGAGGAAAGCCAAAAGGTCAAGGATGAGAAGTAGATCGTAGTTGAGCATAAACATACATCATGACTAAGAAGGCATGCAAGAAAAGCAGCCCCCCTCCCACCCACACCTTTCTGGACTTGGGATAGTTGCCAGGGAAGGGCTTTTCACAATATACATTACACAAAATGTACTTAGCCCACAAAATACACAATCAATCCACTTAAAAATATATTCTGTGAAGCGCTTTGAGATGTCTCAATGACGTGATGAGGCACTATATCAAATGCAAAGATTATTATTATTATTGTTGAGTAGAGCCCACCTTGCTCTTCCCAAATTCAGAATAGAATAACAAAGGGAACCACATCAACAAAAACATACCCTGATAGGCTTTCCAGTATATTTTCTGATCAATCTCAGATTCATCAAAGATGTTAGTTATAAAAGGCGTCCTGATTGCTCAAGCAGTAAAATGTTAGTGTCCTGAGCAGTAGGTTAGTGTTTGAATACCAGTCTCATCTGACATTCAAACAAGTGATCTTAATTTGCTCCTGGCAAAATGTTACAATGGAGGCAGCTGGCAGCACTGCTGAGCAAGGGTGGATAGTTGTGCAAACATCCTGCCCATCCTTCCTCCAGTTGGAAGATGCACAGGAGCTGTAGACACTCAGCCAAGCAAACACATATGGAACAAATCAGTAAGTCGTCCATTGTGATCTGCAATAGCATTTCTGCAGCAACTGAAAAATATAACAAGATTGTTTTAAAAATAGTTTCCAATCAAGTGTGCCATTTTATTTGATCTGTCTGGTGCAAGGTAATCTTGCAGGAATAGCTGTGGTTTGGTTGACATTCAGCTTGAGGAGCTACTGCCTTAACTGGTTTGTCATCAGTTCGGAGCAGACCAATTGGAGGTCACCAGGTGACCTGCGGCTGTTGCATATCTCTGGAGACAAGAGGAAAATAACTGCATGACAACTGCATTTTTATAAAGTAAGCAGAGTAATTACACCTCACTTCAACATATCTGTTCTGACTGACCATGCCTTCAGTCTTGATTCCATCCCCCAGCTCGGGTGCAAATCCTTAACTGTCCAGTGCCTTGGGACGTCCTTCCGAAATGGAAAGGCGATATACAAATGTAATTTTTGTTGTTATTGGCCAGCCATTCAGTACTGTAGTGGGTAGCTACTTCCACAAAAGCAGTGCTTACCCAAATCCATACACTCGAGGAGTAAAACAAAATCACTTCATCCTTTGGATGTTCCTGCGCAAACTGAGAAGGTTGGAAATCAAGTTGTTGGCTCCACACACGCAGTATTCTTTCCAGATTCCTACTTACTGCTAGGTAAACAGTGGCATGTGGAGTAAGGAAACTTGCCCAACATTTCACCCCGGGAATCCAGCCTAGGTCCTCTCACTTGCAAGACGAGTATTCTAACCACTGAGCTACCACTGTCTGAAGCAGAAACTTTGAAGAAAATGTTGACGTCCTGTCTTCATTAAAAAAACAGAACTACCAACCGAGAGCGAGGCGGGGTGGATTAAGAGGAGCCTGGTCAGGTGAGCAGGGGCCTCGTCAGTTGACTCAGAGGACAAGAGGAGAAAGATTCAGTATCAAAAAGGGCAATTTTGGAATATGCCCAAGGCAGTATGTCTATACACATAGGGCAATTAAAGACTGGAACAGGTCACTTCCTAGTTGAGGTCAGGGTGATGGACTCATTATGCAGCTGGCAGAGTCAGGATTCTGGAAGGATGAGTTAAAATGGACTTATTGCATTTCTTCATCCAATCTTCAAATTATCAAGTGAATAGCTTATTCATTCATTGCAGCTTATGCAGCATTTCTCAGGTAAACCTTTGCATGTTAAACATAGTACCAGATATTGATCCCAATGACACCTTGGGGCCAAGCTCATGTCTCGCAATTCTGGGTGACGTATATGGAATTCCCTGGAGAAACTGTGTATTGTCAGGAGCCACACATCCTTTATTCCACTCCAGGACTTTAGATTCCAATGAGTCATTTGACATAGTTGTATAAACTTGTAAAGTCATCTCACTGGCTTCAGAATTAGGATATTTTAATTACAGTGGGCAGGAATTTTCCATTTGTCATCCAAAAACTGAGAACGGCAGTTTATACAAAATCTCAAAATGTGTCCTTACTTTTTCCATCATAAAATAGATAAACCTGTCATTTAAGTCTATTTTTGTGGTATTAGGGAAAGAAAGTCCATGTGTAGCAGCAGTTATTACTAATTATTGCTTTTATTCTTATGCTTTCCTTCATGGAGAATAATGACCCTGTGACGTCAACCGTGCCACTGCTGTCCAACTGACAGGAAAGCATAACTGTGGGGTAAAGAATCTGCTTGAACTTGTGTGACTGAGCTCAGCAAGCCTCGCTCAGCGACAGATTGCACAGTCAATTCTACTCATTAAAAACAGACCACTTCCTACTGCAGCACCAGCATGGTGCTATTTACACAGACTCCACTGCCGTAGCAATCTTCCTATTAACAATTCCTGTTTTAAAGCAAATTTGTTTTCAGTTCAGACTTCATTTAGTCTGAAATAAAATCTTCAATAGGATCAACCTGCTCCTGTTGGTAAATCATTTCCCCCTGATTTGTTAATAAAATGTAAATAGTTTAAATAGCACATCTAAGCATTCGACATTTGCCAACAAAACATGCAGTCACTTCACATTAGAGTAAGTCCAATGAAGCGCTTTGAGACGTCCTCCTGACAAGAAAGGCGCTACATCAAGTCAAAGACTATTTATTAGGTGTAGTTAAAGCCTATTAGTGAGCACTTTTTATCCATTTTGTGAGCACTCCTTTATAACTATAATTATATTAGATCCAATATTTATATTGCATCTTCTACAGAGCAACTGAACTCTAAGATTTATTTTACCTTACTCTACATTTCATCCATTTATTTGAAAACAGCGGAAAGGTGAATCTAAAAAGATTTTCCATCAGTTGGTAAAATCAGTATTGTTCCTGGTGTAATCTCTAATATTGCTATTTTTACCATAAACAAATCTGCAAAGTGAGACTGGGTGATTGAAATGTTTCTGATATAATGAGAAGTGAAATAGCAAATCGCTGTGGCCCACATGTGGGTGGGAGGGCTAAGCAAACTGCAGTTCTATACCATCCTCCCCATCAACAGTCTGACCCCGTTTCCGAGGCATACTTTGGCAGATGCGACAGGCTCACTGGCACATCTGTCATTCCAACTGATCTGGAGGGACTTGGGACTTGGTGGGTTAGTAATGCGTTTGACCGACCATTAAACATAATGAGAAATCAATAGTTTCTGAAGAAACAATATATATATATTTACACAGAATTCTCATTTAAAAACTGCATCAGCAAAGTGATCACAAATCCTGTTAACTGAAGCAGGTGGATTTCAGAGACACAATGCAGTGCACAATTCTCACTATAACACTGAGCACTAAATTACTGAGCAAAGCAATCGTCAAAGTCCACCATCTGGCAAGCAATTACCAGCAACCAAATTTGTCAGAACATACATCTTTGGACAACTTAACACAATTTTTTCCTCTTCTCATTGCTATAAAGAAGCCTAAAAGCACAACAGTTAATTCACGGACTTTGGTTGCCAGAATCTATCAAGAAAATTACAGTAGAATCTCGCAAAACAGGTCCACTGAGATACCTCTTCGATTTCTCATACCTTGAACATCAGATTGTTAAAATCGGTACTTACAACATGAAGTCCTGCTCCCAACCAGGCTGGTCACCTCTCACAGCAATCGTTGTGCTTTTCACATTCTGTACTTTCAGTGTCACATAAGTGTTAAACTTATCTGTCAAAGGAAAGAAACTCATTTTATCACGGATCCTTGTAAAAGTAAAATCTACGACAGACAAGTTCATTTGTAATCATGTTTTTCAATTTCAGGAGAGATCTGTAAATCTATAGCCTTGATAGATGCCACAAAGGTAAAAATCAGTTCATTTTAAACATTTCCCCATTCACCCCAGCATCCAAAGCACCTCCTGCCCACAAAACTTTCAGTCAATTCACTTTACACTATATTCTGTGAAATGCTTTGAGACGTCTCAACGACTCGATAAGGCGCTATATCAAATGCAAGGATCATTACCTCAATATTCAGTACATGACGAGAAAGATGAACATTTAAGTACCAGGGTTATGGGTCTCAGACTTCACTTGGTCAGCCATGCAGAAAACCATCACTTGAGAATATCCAAACCAGACAGAATTCCATCTATGTATGCCACTTACGCAAAGATTTCCTGGGGTCTTTAATGGAATCTCTCTCACTCTCTCCCTGAAAGGATACACCTGGCTCACCTAATTCCAGAGTGTATGAGACTCTTATAAAAAAATGTGGTCACTCAGTCAACGACTATTTGTGGGACACTGCTGTGTGCAAGTGGCTGCCGCGTTTCGCCCACAAAATATACAGGCAATTCACGTTACAGTAAATTCTGTGAAGTGCTTTGAGACTTCTCAAACATGTTATACAGCAGTATATCAAATGCAAGAATTATTATCATTATTGGCTAGATCTAAGGTTGAGGACCTCAGAGTGTGTATTCATGTACTGTTGGAGTTTGACCAACAAAAAATGCAAAACATGCCATGAAGAGCACCGTCTGACAAGATTCCCACTGCTTGTCCAACAAGAACCACCTCACCTGTTGGGGTTATGGCTTACAGGCTTAACAGAAGCTAACAGAATCCCTGCTCCCAGTGACTTGTTTACCTTTGCAACTGGTGATCCAAGCTGGCTGGTCTATCATCAGAAGTGCCTTGGAGTGCTGCAGACTTGCCAAGCTCAGGAACCAGACTGGGTTCCGATATTATGTTGTCAAGCACGTCACCTTGAAGCCTGCTCAGCTCCAAGAAAACCCTGATTACCTCCCCCAAAAGGAGGATAGGTTTGTCTGTACAAATCTCTTGTGGACAAGTAAAATTTGGTCATTATTTCATAGCTATCTGTGTGGTTACTGCTGTGCTCAAATTGGCTACCAAGTTCACCTAAAAAATCCAAATCTTGTGAAGCACTTGGAGACAATTTCCTGATATAAAAGGTGCTGTATCAAATGCAAGAATTATTATTGTTAACCCTGTAAGTTTTAGGCTAGAAAGAAAAAAAATCAATGTGTGAAAGAGAAAGTTCAGAGAAAGAGAAAAGATGTTTTTGGTTAGCATAATTGCCTATTTGTACTTTGTGTGATGAACAATTATCCACATTGTTTCGTTATCTAGTGTGGCCAGTCCAAATTCAGTAATATTTAAGTTACCTAGATTCTTCCATCTACTAATAGGTAACATGCGTGTTTATGCAACAGTATACCAGACTTGTACAACACGAAACAAAAAAGAAATTCAAGGAGATATCGGAGGTTGTGGAGATTCCTGACTGACTCATGAAAGCAAGTCTACAGAAACTGCCATGCTGAGTGTGAAGTGATTCTCACAGTGTCCAGAGTAGAAAGTTTCAAACTTAGAGTACTTCACATTATCCAAATGAGAACAGACATAAAATGTTACTGAAAGAGAAGCAGCAGAACTCTCTAGCTCTGTAACCTGTAAAGATGGCCAGGATAAAGGACTATTGATTAGAGGATTAACATCAGTCTTCACCACACTCGTACACAACAGTGAGCGTGTGCAAGATGACAAAATGTCTCAATCGCAGCACTGTGATGTCAAAATTGCATAATGCGACAACTAAGATTTAACAAAAGTGCATCCAAAAAGTCAATACTTATCACTCTGAACTCTGTTATTCATTCTTTCTCTCCATCCCCTCTCCAGAGATAACTTGTTTTGAGCACGTTTATTCTGTATGACTATTATAACCGATATCACATGCCGCAGTTTTGACTGCTAAATCTTTTATGTGATTCTCTTCACATGGGTCTTAAATCTTTTTTATATACTGTCCAGGTGCAATCATTGAGGAAATCATTCAGTTGGTTCTCTGCCCACCCTTTAGGTGGAAGGCAGCTGAACTGTCCAGCAACATGGGGATTTAAAATGAATCACATTCATCACTACCACTGAGGGATCAGAAGGCAATGCGAGTAGCTTGCTGACAGAGTTCTGTTCCACTGTATGTGATTGTAGAGTTCAAGATGAAACGTATGAGGTTTACGATTCTTATTCCAAGCAGTCTTATAGTAGATGAGCATGTGGTTGAATTTCGGAATGTTGGGCAATTCCAGACAACATACACAACTTCCCACCTGCTATTGTTAAATTACTCATCATCCTGCACAAAAGAACAATTCTAATTTTGGTCAAATTTTGTTTGATGGAGCATGTTTCAACAAAACAACAACTTGCATTTATATAGCGCCCTTTACACAGGATAGCTTCCTGGATGCTGATCTTTTCTTAAGTTTCTTAGCTTTGGCTGACCAGTAGTTATTGCATGCAGTTATCACATCTAAATTGCATTTAAAAGTCAAATGCAATTTAGGGGAAGGCTTTGTGTAACACAACGCAAAAGGATGCCTTCATGAACAGTCACACCTGGAACCAGCTTTAATGATGTGTTCTGGTGTCCTGTTTGTACCACTGACTTTTTTCTGAAGTTTCAAGGACATGTAACTCACAAGTACTGCTGGCATCACTGGATGTAGCAGTCAGTGAGGTAAGACTAGAAGTTTGATGTTCTTGCAAGGAAAATTATTTTCTTTTTGTGAAACAGTTTTCAAAAGATACTCCAAAATTGCACTCATTGCACTCACATCCACCCATTCAGTTTCCTAACAAAACACTTGGATTTTATTGCACTGCTCATATTTATCACCTCCTAACTCGTAATGCCACTCCCCTACCCTCCATTATTCCCGCACTTCCTGGCTGCAGTGAATTATAGGAAACATAGTCTTGATCCGTCGACGCATGCACAGAAGAACTTAGTTTCCTGAGATTCAATGCGATCGCTTGCTGATATGACTTATCTGAGTTTTACTGTATTTAGTTCTTTGGCAGCTGTTGTCTCAGATTGCCATATTTTTTTCAATGACATAACACGAGTACAGTGAAGTACCATGACTAATGGGCAGATTCACTTTATGACCAAACAGGAAACCGTAAACTGAATGACAGATAAAATGCCTAGAACAGCCTTCGATGAAGTAAATCTCCCACTGCAGTGATATAGCACTGCACATCTTCCATCAGTACAAAGTACTCCTTTAGATCACAACAGAAGGTGCATAGTGCAATTCTACGAAATCTCCACAGGTTCACTGTTGTGCATATGTTGTACCTGTAAATTGTGCACATTCGCTGCAGATACAACACATTCACAACACCTCACAGTGTGAATAAAGTAACCAAGGGGCCTTAGCAATTAAATCGACAACAAAAGACCTCAGCCAGAACAGCAAATGGGAATATGAGCTCAGTCTCATGGTTCTCCCATGAAACATTATTTGAGCAACAAATACACTGAATTTAATTAAATTAAATGAAATAAGATGTGTTCAGCACAATATTTTACTGTATAAAGCAACATTCGTAACAGTTAATTTACCCTTTGAACACCTCATCTTCTAAACAACTGCAAACAATTAGTTGAAAACGTATCAAAATTGCTTTTTTTTCTCCTCTTGCAATTCCTGCAATATATGTAGCGTAATGGTTAGTGGGCTCGCTTCGCAAACGAGAGTACCTGGGTTCGATTCCAGGGTGGCGCAAAACCTTAGGCAAGTTTGCTTACTCCACATGCCAGATTTACCTAGCAGTAAATAGGAACCCAGTTGTTATTCGATTGGTGGGGGTAATAAACCCTCCCACCAAAAAAATGTGGTTCACTCAATCCGTTACTGTTTGTGGGACACTGTTGTGCGCAATTGGCTGTCGAAGTTCACCACAAAATAGTCAATCTACTTTACAGTATATTCTGTGAACTGTTTTGTGACATCTCAATACTGCGATAAGATGCTATATCAAATGCAAGTATTATTTTATTATTATTATATATCACAGACATTTTTGGCCAAAAGAAAGGCTTGTCAAAGTGAGCGAGTAACTTGGCTCATGAGCTCACAACATCCCCACATCCCCTACAGCAAAATACAGGTACTTAATGCTCACTTCCAATCCAAATTCTAAATTCTAAATTCCAATCTCTTTGATATGAACGGCAAAGCAAACAGAATGGATTTAAACACCGCTACCAATAACACTCCTGATTGAGTACTGTATTAGAAGCCTTTTAAATATTCTCACTGCTTCTTACCATTTGGAAGGAAGCCAGCAGCACAACTGTGACAACATACATAATACAGTCACTACACTATATCGTGTATCCTCTGAAGTGCTTTGAGACATCCTCCTGATATGAAGGTACATTATCAAATGCAAGGATTATTTATTATGTGCAACTGAAGCATTTTAGTGAGCACTCCTTTATCCATTCATAACAATCAAAACAATAAATCTGACTCTGCACAATACAATTTACATTTATACAGCACCTTTTACATCAAGAGATGTCTCAAAGCACTTTACACTGCTGGCTGGACACCGAGTTGGGGGATCGGAATCGAACAGGTGAAGGAAGCGAAGATGAATGAAGGCTTTAGTATAATTCAGCTAGATCTGGCAGTTTTTCCCTGAGATCTCAATTAAGCCACATGCGTACCCTTGACTTGAGGAAGTGGTGATGGCTGCCAGGGAGGACTTGCAGGGTTAACAGGTGGTGTAAGTTACGATGTTGAGAATGGTGATGAGGAAGATATACAGGTGGGTGACAGAGGAGGTATGTTTGAGATAGGCAATGGAGGGTACGAAAAAGACTTGAGAGCAATAGAG